CATTTAATGACTATGAGAAGAGAAATGTTAAAAAGTAGCAAGGTGTCATAAACAAGATGTCCGAAGGCTGGAAAGTAAAAACTGAGCAGACTAGAAAGGAAAAATTTCCTCATCAGAATGAAAACAAACAGCAAAGCACAGAATGAAAAACGAAAGACAATGCTGATTCTGAAAGGATTTCATGAAGGGTGATGATGATAAATGTCTTTTCAGAAGAAGAAGAAATTGATATTTTCCATTAGTATTTTATTTGTAAATTATTAATTAATTGCTACTGGTAATGCACAATAATATAATTAAAATAGTAAGAATACTAGGCTATTGTAAAATGGTTTAAAACTTAAAGATGCCTCAGAAAATGGTAAATGTAAAGATGAAAGTAATGTATTGAAATGTATTGCCAAATAATAGTAAATATAGAACTGCAATTGGTAAGTTAACTAAACATATTGATGTAACATACATTTATTGTATGGATTAATAGAAAAATGTGTAATTAAAATGGTTTATTGTCCAACTAATGAAATGACAGGTGACCTAAAGAAAGGGGTTTTTTTGGTCATCACTTGGTGAAAAATTTGAGAACAAATAAAGCAGTATAAAAGAAATAATAAATTTGGAATGGAATTTTAATATGTGTTCTGGAGTTCATTGCTCCTGACTGAGAGCCTTTTGGAAGCTCTCAATTTTGGAAGCTCTCAACAGAGCTTTTGGAAGCTCTCAATAGAGCAAAGGGGGAAGTATATATGTGATGGGAACCTTGATCAATCTGCTTGTCAACAGAGAAGCAAAGGGATTGGTTGGGTGGTGCATGTACCCAGCCTATCCTTGACCCTGAAGGAGGAGGAAGCTGGAGGGTGATGAGAAGGTGAGTGTAACTAAAGAAAAAGGGGTTTTGTTGGGTTGTTGTAACTGAAGAAGAACTGAAGCTTAGATCCGTTCCCAAGCTGACTTTCCTATGCAATAAAAGGATATAATTTTCATTCTCTAGCCACCGGGTCTGGTGTGGTTAATGGCTGGTGTGAAACATGTTACTGGAAACTTATTTTAAAAAGTGACGAGCCTGAGTTGGGGCTGTTCACAACTGGTGTCAGGAGCCTGGTTTCATAAATGTGTACTGAAAACACTCGGGGTGGACAAACACAACTGCTCTGTGCTATTGTAATGCAGAAATACTTTGAATACACCATACAAAATTGTATGCTGATTCCCTGTAGATACATGACAAAATGTCACTGTGTCACTAAAAAAACCTTGTTTTTTTAAATCTTCAAAGAAAACCTGTCTTTTGACTATTTCTGTGGCCATTCATTGCCCTTCAAACATCCTCCTTCCCAGCCCCTGAAGCTAAAAGAATGTAGCTAGTTTGGAGCACTTGCTGCTAAGCCTGTTTCATGCATGCACAGTTTATAACAAAGTCAGTTTTACCCTCTTGAAAGGCCTTTTTGGAGGAACAATATTTTAGCTCCAGGAGCCTGGATTCATTCCAAAAAGGAAAAAAAAGTGAGTGAGTAGTTCTCTTACAATATAAGGAAGATTTGTCTTTTTAATTTATTTGACCTGTTTTAAATCTGGAGAAATTTAATGTCATTTTTTAAAGCATGGGGGGAAACGGTTTTACTTTTTAAAAGTGATAACTCAAAAACTTTGATGAAACTTCTTATTTGGCACAAAGAAAGAGCAGACTGTCTACTACCCATGTGCCAATTTGGTGTTGATTTGGTTTCAAAGTTATAAGGTTTTGTTTGGACTGCCTCATTTTTAGAATTGTCTTGTAGAAAGTTAATTTGCTGTGAGAAAATAACAACTGCGATAATATTAAAACAAAAATAAATCCTATGGCATTTTTTTTCAGTAAATTAATATGCAATGAAGCAGAAGACATGTGTTCTGATTTTTTATCACCGAATATGGGAAAGAGAAATGTATTGCATGATGAAATAAAGAAGGGGGAATGGCTCCTGTTTTAATATGGAATTAAATAACCTATTAATGAGGGTGAAAGAGGAGAGTGCAAAAAATGGCCTGAAGCTCAACATAAAAAAAAAAAACTAAGATCATGGCCACTGGTCCCATCACCTCCTGGCAAATAGAAAGGGAAGATATGGAGGCAGTGGCAGATTTTACCTTCTTGGGCTCCATGATCACTGCAGATGGTGACAAAAACCATGAAATTCAAAGACACCTGCTTCTTGGGAGGAAAGTGATGACAAACCTAGACAGCATCTTAAAAAGTAGAGACATCACCTTGCCAACAAAGGTCCACATAGTCAAAGCTATGGCTTTTCCAGTAGTGATGTATTTAAGTGAGAGCTGGACCATAAAGAAGGCTGACCGCCGAAGAACTGATGCTTTTGTATTGTGGTGCTGGAAGAGGCTCTTGAGAGTCCCCTGGACTGCAAAGAGAACAAACCTATCCATTTTGAAGGAAATCAACCCTGAGTGCTCATTGGAAGGACAGATCCTGAAGCTGAGGCTCCAATACTTTGGCCATCGTATGAGAAGAGAAGACTCCCTGGAAAAGACCATGATGCTGGGAAAGTGTGAAGGCAAGAGAAGAAGGGGACGACAGAGGATGAGATGGTTGGACAGTGTCATTGAAGCTACTGACATTAATTTGACCCAACTCCGGGAGGCAGTGGAAGACAGGAAGGCCTGGCGTATTGTGGTCCCTGGGGTCACAAAGAGTTGGACAGCACTTAATGACTAAACAACAAAAATTGCTATTGACTCCAACCACAGAACACTAATACTAACTGTCTGTACACTAGAATTCTTATTGGATTCAGAAAATACTACAACTCATGCAAGGCATTTTTCTCCTTAATTCCAACACATGAGAGTTAAGCTGTGCTATCTTCAGTCTGTAAATTTATAACTCCCCTCCCATAATTACAACATGAAATAGATAACCCATGGTTTGAACAAGAGTAGGTGCCTTATCTCTGCAAAATGCCATGGGCGTTCAGTGATCTCTTTTAAAGAAGTGCTGTATCTCTGCAACATTGCGTATGGTGACTGTAACCACATCTGGTTTGCTCCAGATGTATTACAATAATTGGAATTATGGCTTCACCTTCTTTTGGAACCTTCCCATTCACTTCAATAACACATGGGTTGCACTAGAACAGTGGTTCTCAACGTTGAGTAATCCAGGTGTTCTTGGACTGCAACTCCTAGGATCCTTCACCACTAGCAGTGCTGGCTGGGGTTGGGAAGCACTGCACAAGAAGATTACAAAATATCATGCTGCTTGCTCCTATGCATGTTCCTTCCAAACTACTGTCCTATCGTGTTCAAATAAGGGAAAGACATATTCCTCTTTAAAAAAACAATTGTAGTAATGGTTGCTAATTAAAAGCAAGTCATACAATACTTTTATTGGACTGATAATGCTGAAGATGCTGGAAGAATATTTTTTAGTAACAGAGGAAATTTCTGGCATAGGTGGGCAGGCCAGCAGTTGGAAATGAGAAGTGGTGCTGCAGTGCTAAAATCGGGTCATTTGCCTCTATTCAAAAACTACACAATCTGAGCTTTCAAGGAAGTAGTCAATTTTGGGGAAACTACTGTGCCTTCATCTGCACACCTGGCAGTGCCACTGAAAATGAAAAGGAGGTTCCACAGGACATGTGCCCAAACAGGTTTGCTCTGGATAATATCAGTGGTGTCAGCACAGATATTTGCAGCCAGTGTCTTACTTTAATTTCATTTTTGTGTTATAGTATTATAAGGTAAGGGGCATATACAGAGTTGTGCTGCAATAATTGGGTTCGCTGTGCAATGCCACTGCTACAGGGTCGGATAGGACAGCTGAGTGATTCGATAGATCCTCAAGTCTACCTCCCAAAGGTTTTAAAACAGAAGCAACGAATTTACTTCTCCTTCGCCCTGAATTATATTGGCGAGCTTTAGAAAGCTGGCTCGGGCGATCCGCCGTTCCGATGCCCAAAGGAAAATACAGTAGCTGTCCACCACCAACTCTTTAATCGTGAGGACATGTTTTGAGCGCCAGGCTCCTCCTCCTCCTCCTCCTCCTGTAGGTAACAGCTTGAGGGTCTAGGAGTCAGACAAAAACAGATCGCGTAAGCCTCAAGACTCCCCAACCCGGCCCCTACCCCTCTCAGCTTCCCCTCGGCCAGAAGGAGGCTGAGCTCCCCGCGCCCTCCAGCTTGCCTCTTTAAGGGCTGGAGCCTTCTGGGTTGCCCACCTCTGAACCCGGTGAGTGACAGGCAGCCGGGCTGGGTGGGGCGGATGACGGTGAGGAGGAGGAGGCGGGGCTGCCGGCTGCTGGCGGCGGCCAATTAGGGTGGCGAGTGGGTCCCCCCTCGGCTCGCTCCTCAGCACCACCCTTCTTACTCCCTCCCGCCTGGCCGTGCCTTTTCTGTGTCAGTTTCAGGAGTCCGGAGCCTGAAACAAAAGCGGGAGGGCCGGGAAGGAGGCGCCGGAGTTCGCCGAGGCGGGGAACCGAGGTGGGGGCGGGCGGGCAGGCGGGCAGGCGGGGGCGCCGGCTGCCGGGTTCGGCCAAGGCGTCGCGAAGCTGGGCTGTGCCTTTTGCGGTCGAGCTCTGCGCAGAGCGAAGCCTCTCTCCCTCCCCCCCCCCCCCCCCCCCCC